CCGCCGTCGAAGCGGTGGCGCTGGCTGCCCAGCCACGCTTGTAACCGAAAATGGAATGAGAAAGATTGAGGGCGTGATGGACGGAATGCGTAATTATAGACGTATAGTAGCCTGAAGTAGCTATTTTTACCATGCGAACGTGAACCGGGACACAATGGATGATCGACTACTTTGGATAATTTCGAAGTAGGTGAAGAACACACCAACACAATAGAATAGATGGTTTTGTTTCCATAATACAGAACAAGTTCAAGTGACAATAGCTTGTCGTTCGATAAACCATTGACCAAAAAGTTGACTATTTTTGGTGTGAACTCACTGATTACTATAATTTGGTATGTATTGGTGCGCCAGGAACAAAAGTTTATTCTTCGCATTAGTCGTGCTATGATTACGACTAGACCCATTGTAGCTGTTTTAGCCATCTAGGCTTCATATATTGGTCGCAAAAAGGTCGTGGAATATTTTCTTTGGAGTAACGCAGATAAGGATGATGCCTTGATCGTTTTTCTAATTATATAGTTTGCTGAATGGCCAGCAAATATTTTGAGCTGATGCATAAATCGTGCGCAACAGCAATTCATTGAATATCTAACATACGGCAAGTGTTCTGCTTTACTATACATATTGGCTCTCGAAACAAAAACAAAGTGTCGAGTAAAAAACTCGAAAATCACAATTATTAGTAAGAAACTTTCAATCAGCATGATCTTTCGCAGTCAAAAAGTGTAGAGAAAAACTCAAGTACAAAATCAAATTTGATTAGTTCCTTTAGCAATTTTAATGACCAACCGTGCTAATTTCTGCCAGCTTTTATAGCTTTTAGCTTAATATTTTTTGCTTAAACGCTCGTAAAAACATACGATTCCCTCTCCAGCTTGAGTAATAAAGCAAAAGAATTTACTGCAGAGATAATTACAATTTTTTGTTGTTCAGGGCTTTTGCGCCAATGTGATACCTAGTCGGGCTTACACGATTTTGCACGAGAGCAAGTACCCTATTTTCAGATGTATAAGCCGCACCCTTTTTGCTCTAAATGCGAGCAGACCCAGGCATGCCGCCGCGCATATGCCTCGCGAAGCGGTCGCCTTATCGCATACTGCTCTCACTTAATGCGCTCCATGATGACAGTCAGTCTTTTGGCGTGTTCGCCTTTAGAGTGAAAAGGGTGCGGCTTATACAGCTGAAAATAGGGTATTCTTTCAGTGAAAGACTTTCAAGAAAAACATTTTATTCGTCTCTATCAAAACCACCATTAGAGCACTCATGGCCGTAGAAACCTTGTTTCACTACTTTTTTGTATCTACAAAGACTAATCGACTGGTCCTAGCTAGTCACTGAACAAGCCCAAGAACTGATGACTTTTGATCTTGCTTGAAAAACTGCAAGTCTTCTAGGTTATAAATTCGACAGCCCAGCACAAATTCAGTCGAGCTAAAGCCAAAAGTACGAAAAAATAATGAGAGCAGAATTTTGTATGCTGCGCAGTGAGAACATTACCTGATTTTTGAACGATATACGACAATTCACCGAAGAAATGATCTTTTGTCTCCAATGTGAATCAAGATAATGATTATGAAGCTTTGTATCAGCAGTTGAATTTTGCATTGCAGATTTTCCCGTCAGCCAAATCGTTAAGGCATCAACAACTGCTGATTTTTTGAGAAAAGATGGGTAAATAGTAATCGCAATTCGAGATGATCTGAATTTCGTCTACCAGTAGTCATCATCGCTTATATACGTAACATTATTATAGAAGATCTCCGCTCAAAAACTGGTACTGGAGATGAAATGGTTGGTACTTCACAACAGTACAATAATAATCAATAATCTAAGATGATAGCCCATCTCACAATAATTTGGAACTTTCACAGTAATCCTACATTTATAACAAGATACTGACGTTTACTATAGATTTAAGGCAACATACTGTGCATAAAGCCGTTGAAGAAAAAGCTGGTTGGAAAGTTATGCTCGTAGAAGAAGTTGCTGTCCGCAAATGAAATCTCTGATATTGAAAGTCGACGTGTCTCAGACTGTCCTTTAATCTTCCGCTCTAAATTATTTTATTCACTCTTTTACCGTAAGCACTGCCTTAAGACTGTATACATATATTTGTTGATTATTTTTTATTGCTCTTTCTTGCGAAGTACATGAGGGACATGATGAAAGCCACACTACCTGTATACATTCTCGAAAGGAAAGGATATCAACATAAGTTGGCGATTGAAATCGATACGCAAATTAGTATACGCGCTCTATCGCTGACAAATCTGCTTTCCTTTTTTGTGGAACAACACTGGCTTAAAATTATCGAGAAGCTCTAAAAACACCTATGCTGATTTTTTCCACCGTCTTTGCTCCTTTTTTGCACGCAGTATTTTGGCACAAAACTGTGTGCTCGCTTCTAGATGTTTTTGTACGTCTTTTCGCTACTTTTAAGCCCTTCAAAGCCTGATAACCTTGGAAATTCAAACCGCATAACTTCTTTAGGGAAGCTGTTCGGTAAAAAGAAGGAAAGCGGATTTGGAATATCTTCTTCAGTCGCCAACTTATGTTGGTCTTCTTCCCTCATCAGCCCCGACCGGTGTGTCAAATTTACCAGTAGTTCCAGTTTACTACTCTAACTCAGGGCCCGGCACGAGTCGGTTTCTAGGGTTTCTGAAAACGAAGTCTCCCCTGACTTTTGGAAGTTTTACGAAGTCCCCTTTGATCTACCAGCTTAGGAGAAGATGAAAACAAGAAAGGTTTACTAGTCTGAAAGAAAGGACGTAAGATAAGAGTGAAAATCCAAATTGGAGCTGAATACTACGCATGCACAAGACTTTGGCATCAGAGCGCGATATTTAACAAATTGAGAAAAAATGAAGGCAAAAACAAAGGCAAGGCAATGATGTGAAAATGCTTTCATGTTCAGGGATAGATTTTTGATCGGGGAATCCGTCCATGCTAAAAAGATCTGAAACTTATGTGAAGTGACGAAAATATATGCTCCAGACGATCTCAGATCGTCTGGTGGCCGTCTGGAGACGATCTAATTTTGGAAAACGTATTACTTCACATAAGTTTTCAAACCTTTTTACATAACTCTTTTGCAAATAATTTTCAATGTATACAGTTCAAATTTGGTGTCATATGCTTCTGTGTGCGCTGTAAACAAGCAATTTGTTTATTTTAGCCTTGCTTTCAAATCGCGCGCACTTTTCGCCGTACACGATAGAGCACGTCAATCGTGTGATAACCTGTCCGAAAAGCTTGTGTTCGACTAAATGGCGCTTATTGTTGGTGCTCAGCCTCGACTCGTCAAAAACGATATCTCTTTTGCTTTTTGCTCCAAAAACGAAGTCCAGCCTGCTTCTAGACGATCTGTGCCGGGCCCTGCTCTAACTGTTTACGGACTTTTCTCTCGGCACCTACTCTCACGGTGTTTATGTGTTTGATGGTCGTTCTCAATAAACTGTTATTGTATAGCCTTACCAAACAAAGTCTTTTTGGCATTGTCGTATTTTTCTACATAATTTGCCATTGCTTTTTGGAAGGTTCATGATAGAATGCGAATTAATGTCCTATTTCCACATGCAATTAATAACTTGTGAGATTCGCAAAAAAAACATCTGGATAAAACCTTGAGACGGGCTTAATCCTTTACTTTCGGTCTCAACTGGGCGCATATGATACATGTTGTAAACAGCAGAACTTATGAAATAGTTGGAACATAGTTGCATCAGCTCATTCTTGGGACTTAGCCACATCCGACTATTACTCGATGATTGTACCTGATTCTCTTATACTATCGTTGTGCGACTTTAGAGACAGTCTGAAGCTATGTCCGTATATAACACTACAAATGCCGTATGAGAGAACACCATTCTGATTTGCCTGGTTAGTATCTAGGGCAATACACATCATCGGTTGGCAATCACTTTTATAAATTTATAGACAGAACAATATTGCTTCAAATAGAAAGACCAGAATGCTGGTGGACTCTAATGGCAAAACTTTTTTTCTATCGTATTCTTTCAGACAAAGCGACAATCACATGTCTCACTTATGAGTTTGGCTTCGGGCCATACTTTCGTTGCTTTACGGCCCCCCAGGGTGTCCATCTTATCGAGGGAAGTGCATTTCGGTGTGTCGGCAATTGTTGACTAGTATGCAATGATACATGACTACTCCACAATCATACTGAAGGTTTTTTTCTCTTAAAAGACCTCAAAGCTTTCACAGTTTCTTGAAATTAATGCGCACGTCCCACCAGAAAAAAAACTATTTACCTTGCTTGGCAGAGCGACAAAAAAGACAGATTTACCTTGTCCGGAGAAGTGATAGAGTGCCGTTTGAAGATAGGGCATGTTTTCCCATTTGTTACAGGTTTCCCTTCGAGGGCTGCTTGAAAAATGCTCTTCCAAATTGAAGTAGACTCCCATTTCAGATCCCAATGGAACAATTCTTGTCACTCTCCTTTCAGGTCATAAAAAAGATGACCATAGGAGAACTCATACTCTATGATCGTGCATAATTAACCGCCTCCTATTGTTAGCGCATTCGCGTATATAGGTCAATCTGCATAAGCGAGATCATCTCGACTCCTCAAAGTCTTTTTCGCCCCCCCCCCCTGCTAAGCTCTCGAAAAGAGATGTGGAACGGTGTTGACGTGTGGAGGTCAAGCTGGTAGGAGGTGGTGGTTTGGCATGATGTGATGGCTATGCCTCCTGAGACCTCAGGCTGTCCGTCTGATATATGGGCGTAGAACGACATCTTCGTTGCGCTACATCGATTCTGTGGTCCCCTCTTGTGTGTCTTTCCCGAGTTTTGTCAGAAACAACAGCATATATAAATGAGGGCAACCGGGTGCTGTTAGTGACTTCCGTTTGGTTATTTATTGCTTCATGTGTTATCATATGAAGCATGGTATTGGTTTTCTCCATCTACGTACATGAAGATGAAACTTTGCAAATTTTCAGATTTAACAGTCTATATGTCCTCGTCCTAATCTGGAGATGCTGATCGCGTTTTTAGCCTTGGTAAGTAGGATACATTATTAGTTCATTTTTCTATGTCAGCTTATGCTTATCAGATGCAAATGTAGCATTAACGCATAACAGGCTTGAGTGGGAGCTTGGAGATTGTTCTATCCATATCCTCTCTTTTTGCTCCAAATCCTGTCTTTCTGCTGTAACATCAGATAATATTTTGGTTTACTCAGCAATTTTCGCATTTTGCTCTTCTTTATTCCTGAGAAATTTCTGTAATGACGAGCAAAAGTCCTAGCTAGAACTTTCGCTAGCAAGTTTTGTCTAAATAATCTACAGAACTGGCTCGCAAATAGTGATTAATAATGGCACTTAGCACTCCTTCATGTGCGCTTTCAGCATATATCATTTCAAAGCGATTGTCTATTCGATAGAATAAAATAGAAGCTCAGCATGCCATTCTTTATACATGAGTCTTTTGTAGCTGTATATAGTTATCTTTGTTATTGAGGGGTGCAATCCATTAAAGGTATGAAGAATAGCCTCTACGCAACAATGCTGCATGGAGCAAAGAAAGGCTATCATTCTGAGTTGACTGCAAATTTATCTACAGTGAAGCAATTATGTAGCAACTACCTAAAGGAAATAGTAAAACGGCCATCTTATTATATTTCATGAACACATGATATATGAAAAGTTACAAACCATAGATATTCTCCTTTCTACTTTCTACTACTTCTTTCCATTTTTTGGTGTAGGGAACCTCGTATACATAGTTAAACCTTAACTTGCCTTGATGTATTATGTGATATATAATAAGATCTAAACTTGATTTATTGTATTTTTCATTATTTTTGTTCGAGTTTTTATTTTGTTTTTTCTTACGATGCACCTTGTATGCGTATTTTATAAACAAATGATGACTAAATACATTTTTTGAGGCAACTGCTATCCGAATTTCTACGGTTTCCACTATCATAATTTTGCAATGATTCACCCGTAAACTGATGTTTCATCGTGGAGCACAAGTCATTTTGCGTCGAATTTGACTTTATTCATTTTCATCTTCTATATCATAGAAAAGTAGATGAGCGATGTTCATTTTCATTTTCTAGCCACAAAAAAATAGATGAGCTATTGCTTGGAGCGGTGTTCGAGCTCCAGATGTGTAGATGATCCCAATTGCTTGATTGGAAGCTTGCTTTGGCAACAATTGAAATTAGTGGGAGCACTCCGTTTTCGGTGATTCGTTTCTTGATGATGGCTCGCATTCTGCGAGTATTGACAGAGGGGGCCTGTTGATTTCTTCACATAGACAGTCCCACTGCCCCCACTGCTTGATGGTCCTCTGCACTGTCCAAGTGCGACTTTCAAAGCGAGATCGCCGAAGCTTTCTGTCTATCGGCTGACAGGCGAGCGATTGATACACGGAGATCACAGGGCCTCATGAGCACACAAAAGCAAATGAATCCTGCATCAAAAGAAAGCTGAGTAATGCCACTACTTGAATCACGTTAGAACAGGCAAAATCCACCCAGTAGATGCTTATATAGAAGATTTATGGAAAGGATATAGCCTGAAACTCAGTACCTGCTGCGCTCCTATAGCTGCCAAAAATTTTTTCAAGACAAGGCCGCTGGCACGCATGTAATATTCGCAAATTTTCATTTTGCGTTTTCGAAAGAATAGCTTCTGGCAAACACAACTACTAGAAAGTGATAGCGGAAAGAATCCTCTACATTGTATGCAATAAAGTATCGTAGAGCATTCACAGTATCTTTAGCTACGAAATGAATTGTGAGAAATTTTCTTTTGCAAAAGTGCAGAAGCACTTTCAGCTAGATAAAGTGTAATCTGTAGAGGATGATCGCAGCATAATGTGGCACAAATTTTGAATCAAAATCATCAGTGTTTCGTGATTTACAGTACTGCAAAGTCGGCACCCAGACTTTTGCCTATCCTGTGCAGTGGTGGTCCCAGCATTTCCGTTCGGGGGCGGGGGGAAGGGGGACAAAAACTTTTTTCAGTCAGTGATGCGTAGCGCTAGCCGCGCACACTGATATTCTTAGGAGTTTTAGCTCCCCAAAATTTCTCCGGGCTCATAACCACGAAGTCATGAGAAAAAGCAGTAGTCGTGCCCCCAAAGAATTATTTTACAAGGCCATTTTGGATTGTGGAGGAACTTCAGTTACTTTAATCCTTTATAAGTATAGACAACACTTGCACCTTTTTACAGCCCATACAAGTGACTTTCAAAAACTGGGCGAAGCAGTTCAGCTACCACTTCATTTTCCAGCTGTCGTCGATTGGCGCCGATGAATACGCTGATCTGATGCGGAGTGATGTCACGGCAAGAGTTCTTCCTTTGAATATCACTATCAACTCCACAGATCCAGTCAACGCTACATGTGCCTTTACTTTACATCGGTGAGATTACTATCACATAACTCCTATCGCGTTAGTTAAGGATGATTTTCCTTCAATTTCTCTGCTTTTCGTCCCAATTTTGAATTTTGAACAAATCGCCAAATCTTTGAGTTGGTCTACATCCAAGCCGTTGAAGATCCCTCATTATCAATGAAGTTGATTTCTGAAAAAAAAATGACTTGTTACATATGGATCAACCATGGCTTAAGAAGAATCCATTTTATGCAAAAATCTTGGGATTATTTTGTTGAAAAATTGTATGTTGTCTCTGATTAGCATGAGTCCAGAGCTTCAGTCTTGTTATCCATCCTCATGTTCTTTATAGCCCCGAATTCAAGGCCAGTGTGTTGTCTAAAGCTTCTTTTGATTTCTCCTTTTGATGCACCTCCTGTATGTATGAAATAAAAGCAGAAAAACTCATCCATCTTATATATAAAGCTGAATGTCTGTTTGTCTGTATGTCTGTCTGTCTGTCTGTCTGTCTGTATATGTGTACTATGTTCCGAATAGAAAATTCCAATTCTGAACCGATTGGGACCAAACTTAGCACACATACACTTCGGGCCCCGGCGGGTGTCATAGGCTACTTTTCGTCATCGATCGATATCGATTTTTTCGATTTTTTGGAAAATTTGAGCTACGGGGCTGGGAGTTGGCACAGGGGGGTAATCGAGCATGCTGATCACCCCCGTGGGGGCCCCTCTGCCAAATTCCAGCCCCCTAGCTCAAATTTTGCAAAAAATCGATAAAATCGACATCGATCGATAACGAAAAGTGGACTGTGACACCCGCCGGAGCCCGAAGTGTATGTGTGCCAAGTTTGGTCCGAATCGGTTTTTTCTATTCGGAACATACGGCGGAGCCGGGTAAGCCAGCTAGTTGATAGATAAACGATTCATGGATAGAAGCAAATCAAAGCTCTTCTCTAGCAAATTATTGTACTGTGTGTAGAAATAGTACCATGATCCCAAACTAGAGTTTTGCTTATCGTTTTGAAACTCCATAAACCTTTTTGAACGATTCCGACTGTGATAGTGCTGCATGGTAACTTCAATGCTCTACAAAACAATGACCTGAGCCCAACTGCCTTGAGATAGAAGGAGATAGATGAGATGATTAAAGATTTTCGTCCTACGTCGGCAAAAGAACCTCGAGGATTGCAATTTGAATTTTGCATGAAATAATTTACATAGCCTGAACTTTCTAACCGAAAAAATGTGCCGATTTGATGGGCCACTCCTACTTTTGAATTAATATTGAGAAAACTTACAAATGAACCAGAACGGTATTTAACCAGAAGGAAACCTCTCTTCTATAAACTTCTTATTATGCCTTGTTATCGAGTATTTCACCACATCAAACTTCTTCTATTTCAGAGCGTCATGCAAGAATCCACCGCTTACGCTGAACGATAGCATCTCTTGGCATACAAGGATCTGCTTCAACTGGAGATGCAATGCACGTACGTTCTTGAATTTCTGAACTCTTTTTTAAACTTACATAACCATAACTCGATAAAATTTCATTAACATGGTGTTGTGATTTCAACGCATTGCTAGAAAATTTCTGCGAGTGCCATTTCAGTCCGATCGATTCCAAATTCTAGCATCAAAAGCTTTAATCCGCTTAGAAATATGTTTATTCAAAAATATCGAATAATTAGGAAGGAAACCCATGAGAGGAAGAAAGCGACTAGCAACTAACCAACCAACTAGCAACTAAGCAACTTTTTTTCAAGCTGCCTGTTTCCCTTTGTTGCCACTGAAATTAGCAGTCGCATTCTTATTATCCTCTCAAGTTTGAATTCTTGAATGTCACATTAATATTTACTGCAAATAATTTGCATACGTCTACCAAATCTCTATATAATAAAGCGCAGGATGACTCATGCGTATACGGCGTATGTCCGGCCACTATACCCCCCCCCCCCTCCGCCGCCGCCAGATGCCAAGTTAACACGTTTCGGACCGCGAAATCGCGCGCGGCGAAAAAGAGGGTACTTTTAGCCGTTAGCCAACAAAGGGATCTTATTTCCCAAACTGTGTGCTACATCTGTAATCAGTATGTCAGATAAGGTCGATACCCAAAGTTCTGAATGAATTCGAAGTGTTTAAATTTTGTCGCTTGAGAGAGACTTCCGTGCTTCCTTGAAAGATAGAAACAAGAACTCAGTTTCGAACTATATACAAAAGTGTCTATGCCGTACACGATACACATCATTATTGAAATCACGGTTTTTCTCATTGAATATGAAGCAAAGAAAAGTTGCGACGTCGCACGCGTCGTCGCGTTGCCGCACTTCGTTGCAACTGTTGTTCGATTTGTCCTCATATCTTCTGAACAAGTATCGGCGGCACAGCTCTACGGAGTTATTTGAAAAGTAGGAGCCTAGGCCTTTGACTTGATAACCTTGGACAAAAAGAAAACCTCCTATAGAGTCTAAAAAGATCCTTCAATGCCGCGTGCTGCACCATGTGCAGCACCGGTCCGAAACGTGTTAAAGGTAAACAGTCTGACCCCACCCCACCATATCCCCCCCCCCTCCGCCGCTGCCGCCGCCGAGGGAGTCCATAAAAGGTCAACAGTCTGGAAAGTTGCCTTTTGAGTTAAGGATGAGGTTTTTGGTTCCATCCATGTTCGAAGTGTTTTGTTTTGCATACCAGACCATTGCGACTAGCTCATTCATTGTGCCAAGTTGTTAACCCCAATTTCATTCCTCATCATCTCTCTATAATAATGCGCTAAAGATGACTCATGCATTTAACATCCCCCTCTTCGTGGTTGCGATTCGGATGTCAACAACTTTGTCGTTATGTGCCGGTGCAGGTGCACCCTGTGATGACTCCATTATACTAGTGAGTTTCCAGTAAAGCTCTGCGGCCCTCTGGTAGTTCTCGTCTTTGCAGAAGCAGTGTTCTCATGAGTTTAAAAACTCTTTAGACCGCCGTGCTCACTTTTTGAGCTCAGAGGTACTCCAAATCTCAGTTGAGTGATTAGATTTTGAAGCATGCCAAGAGGTTTACTTGCCACATTCGCAAGCCGCCAGTGAGCGTTCAAACGATACAACCTTTTCATAGGAGCACGGATCAGCTGATTACTTGTTGGCAACGTAACGATTTGTCCAGTTTTTGCGGTCATTTGGCGCTCAAGCAAATTTGCACCGTATAATCTCCTTTTTTGGAGTTTGAGGAATGCTAATGACATGCATGTCTCAAGGCTTATGGCTGTATCTGTAGTCCAGATACTGCAAGATGACAAGTTTACCAAAGACGTTTAGCTAAAAGTGACTGCAAGTTTGGCCAACCTCGATTTTGCCATTTTCGTCATTTTCCCTAAAGCTCTCTTGTGCGCAAACTGCAAAGTTTTTTAACATAGTATTGAGCAGTGTGATTTGTACGTAATATGAGTTGGGAATTCGTTTTATGCAAAACAGAGTGAGATATAGCAAAATTTCGGAGTGGCAGCAAAATTTTGGCCAGCACTGTATTGAGAATTGAATCAGCCATGTGAACAGTTTTGCCGTAAACGCTCAGACACTTATGCAGGCATCTACGACCACCCCGCGCCGCTACACCCATGCCGAGGTGTCGTTTCATACTGCAGTCGCTCAGCAACTGCAGTATAAAGGGTTCTCAACGTTGGCGGGGTCGTTTATCGTATCTCGCTTTCTGGCTAATAGTAAAGTCAGGTTCCTGAGGTAGTGTTTGGGACAACCACTATTGGAGTACTTGATCTTGAAACAACACAGGTTGTTGGGTTGCTAATATGGTCGATAGAGTACCTGACAAGCCCAACAATGCCTGTGAATGATTCGGCAAGCGCCTGCCAATTGCGCGATATGCAGCCACGGGTGATTCGATAGCACCCCTTAGAGCAAGAAAGTTCTTTTTAGCGTCAAATTTTAAGATTTTTTGGAGCACCTGTTCCCATCCTTTTCAGTCTGGCATGAAGGCTACGATGCATACGAAAATCTGTCACGGCAGCTAAACCACATCAGCGAAGTTCCCATCAACTCGTGTTGTTTCGAGATCAAGTACTCCAATAGTGGTCGTCCCAAACACTACCTCAGGACCTGACTTTATCATTAGCCAGAAAACGAGATACGATAACCGACCCCGCCAACGTTGAGAACCCTTTTTGTAAACCCTTTTTCAGGCGACTCTGTTGAGAAGGGCCTTAGTTGAGTGCGCACACCATTTTCTTCAACTAAACTTAAAAATTAGCTTCAATTAGTAGCAATACGTTGACCGTGATAGTGCGGAGGATCTTTGACCGTTCACTTGCCATCTTAGAGGCATTAGAAGGCAGACAGTTGTACGTTTAATTTAACTGAGGGAATTTCTCTGAGCGAGATCTCAATCTAATAAGTGCCGAATGGAGTTTGCTGCGAGTCAGCGTATCAAAACTGTGGCACATCGCGAGGTCTGGGACTCGCCAGAGTGATTTTGTCAAGCCAAGGTTTAAAAGAGCCAGGGATGCCCAACAAAATGTGCTAGCGCCCATTAAAGGCACCGTTTACCCTAAAATTAGAGATCTTGAGCTTTAGGCAGCTTAGGATAGTAGGCCTTCCTATCAGGCCAATGCCCAGCCGCAGCACAAAATGTCAATTTGGAAACGGGAAAATCGTTTCGGAATGGTGAAGAGGCATGAAGACCTCCAAGTCGGCACCGTCCCCTCCAGTGATGCCCGCCCATCCTTGCCCGCAAATTCCATCACCGTTCCGGAAAATTGTTTTGCGGGTTCTCCCGCATGGGCAATGTTGGGTTTTTGCGAATTCTCAACTTCGTATTCGGAACCAGGAACATAAGAAGGCACGGGAACGATCACAATATGGAAGCCGAGAATCGGCAGCGTCCAACCAAAATTTTGCCTTCAATATTTTTGCCATTCTGGGGCCGTGGTTGTGATTACAGTTGAAACTTAGAATATGCAAAACCTAAAAACCCGATCTCTCGGAAACCTATCCTAAAAACCCGCACGACTTTCACTATTTGGCTGGGCGAAGATAGAATTCGGGCATGGCTTGATAGCACTTTCGCGGTTTTAGGACGACCATTATCTCTTTTCCCCCACAATGGTCGGTCGCCTCATCGTGGCGTGGGGGTGACACTGGGTGTCGAACTGCGATGCACAGCCGAGTGTATACTCTGGTAGGGCCTCCCAAGCTGTGAAGGAGTTTCCGGTTTCGGCCGGATGCCTAGCTAAGAACTGGCCACGCCAGATCCTCCGCCGTCTGGCTTCTTCTGGTCGCTAGGCGGTCCCTCCCCGCTCCAAGCGCGGGGTCAGCGATCGCCCCGTGGAAATCAAGAGTAGGCCTAGTAAGCCACCTCTTGTAGGGGAACAAATTTTATTACTCAGACAGCAAGAAGATTTAGAAAAAACCCTGTACATCGGATCCCGCCTACGGCGCCGGGTGGTAGCAAGAACGATGTCAGGGTACTCAGGGCGCCTTTCGGATTGGACAAAAACGACACGTCTGCCCGGACGACACGCCATGGAGATTGCCTCATGCTCTGCACCTACAACGCCAGGACAGTCTCTACAAACGCCGACCTACACGCTCTTCTCGACGCTGCAGAGCACATCAACTACCACATCATCGCTCTGCAGGAAACGAGGTCCAGGAAGAAGGACGTGCGACAGATGAGTGATGGACCCTCATCATTCGTGGTGAAAAGGTTCCATCACGAAACGTGGGAGGCGTCGGCTTTGTCGTCCACCCATCTATCGTCCATCTTGTCGATTCGCACGAGATCCTATCACCTCGACTAGGCATCCTACGACTACGACCTCCACATCAGAAAACCATCAGCATCATCAACTGTTATTCTCCAACATCAGCAGCTGACGAATCAGAACTAGATGCTTTCTACGAAGATGTGGAGGAGGTCGTCCGCAACGAGAAGTCCTTTTATAAGTTTGTTGTGGGCGACTTCAACGCGAAAATCGGGATGCCACTGGAAAGGGAATATAGGATCGGGAAGTTTGGATATGGGCTCCGGAACGAAAACGGCAACCGTCTTGTTGGGCTTCTCTCCGCCGTACGACTTTTCCATGGAAATTCCATCTTTATGAAGAAAGAACATCGCCGGTGGACATGGGAATCGCCCAACGGAACGACCCACGCGGAGATCGACCACATTCTCACCAGCCGAAGGTGGAGCTTGCTCGATATCTCAGTAGTTCCATCCTTCTGCAGTGGCTCCGATCACCGCCTCCTTCGAGCGAAGGTACGATTCAGTCGAAGGCTGGAAAAGAAGGTCTGCCACAGTGCCGCAAGAAGGAAGAATGTCGTTTATGACGGTAACAGGCTGGAGGAGCTCATATCAAGTTGTGACTGGCCCATCGAGGAGGACCCAACGTACGACTACGACCGGCTTCTGAAAGGATTGCGAGCCTGCGGAGAGTGCGCCTCAGTGACTTCTGAGAAGTATGTTGAACGCGTTTCGAAAACCACCAAGGAAATGCTTGAAAGAAGAAGATTTCTGAGGCAGGATCCGAATGCAACCCATCTCGAGCGACTGATAGCCAACGCCAGTTGCAGAACAGCTTTGCAGGAGGATCTCAGGAAGTACAGGCAAGCCAAGATACTGGAAGCAGCCGAAGGAAGACGAAGTCTCAAGAAGTGCCGAAGGGACCTCTGTGAATATCGCGTACCGCTGGCTGCACTATTGAACGAAGACGGGACTCCGACTTCTTCCCGATACAAGATGGAATCTATCGCGAAGAACTTCTATACCAACCTCTTCCGCTCATCAACACCCGTGCCGATGCCCGTTGTTCCCACTGGAGAAGTACCACCACGAATTTTACCTGCTGAAGTGCGCACAGCGATTCAGACCATGAAGACGTCCACGGCTCCAGGACCAGACCATCTTTCCGTCGAATTTCTGCGAGCTGGAGGACAACGTCTACACGAGATCCTCGCGTCGCACCTAACAACTTACCTTCAGAAGGAAAGGATTCCCGACCAGTGGAGAACATCAAGAACCGTCCTTCTTTTCAAGAAGGGTGAACGGGAAGATCTTCGATACTACCGTCCAATATGCCTGCTGAGTGTGCTGTACAAGCTTTTCACGAAGATTATCCTCGCTCGCATATCTAGGACACTGGATGAAGCCCAACCCCAAGAACAAGCTGGATTTCGCAAAGGATTCAGCTGCATGGACCACATCCAGACGGTTTCGAGGGTCATAGAAGTCTGCCGGGAATACCGACTGCCTCTCGTCCTAACCTTTGTCGACTACGAGAAAGCCTTTGACAGCGTCGAAACCAACGCCATCCTGTCTGCGCTAGTCGATCAAGGAGTGGACCCAGCTTACGTGAGGACGTTAGCCGACTGTTACAAGGACTGTACAATGACGATGCAGCTATTCCATCGCCCCCTGACCATCCCAATTGGGAAGGGGGTTCGACAAGGCGACACAATTTCGCCGAAGTTGTTCACCGCGGCCTTGCAGTGGGTGATGAAGTCACTGGACTGGGACGAGAGAGGCATACGAGTTGATGGGAGATTCCTCTCGAACCTTCGTTTTGCGGACGACATCGTTCTCTTTTCGAGCAGTATCACTGAAGCAGAGACGATGCTAATGGAACTGAACGAAGTAGGGAAGAAGATCGGATTGCGAATCAATCGGAAGAAGACTCAGTTCATGAAGAACGCCCTTTGCGAAGATGCAGAAATGGAATTGAAAGGCACCCCTATCACGGAGACGTCTTCTTACGTGTATCTCGGACGTTCGATGAACATGGAGAACGACTTGAGGGAAGAACTTAACAGGAGAAGAAGAGCAGCCTGGGCCGCCTTCGGGCCTCTGAAGGAAGCCACCGACCAACTGACGGACCCGGAGCTTCGTGCCCACCTGTTCGACTCAACCGTTCTCCCTGCGCTCTGTTACGCAGCTGAGACTTGGGCTGACACCGTCGCCACTTCGAAAGCTTTAAGGACCACCCACAGAGCGCTAGAGCGTAGTCTTCCGAAGATGACCCGACACAAACAACATCTCGTCGGACTTCGCAGTACGGATATGAGGAGAATGTCCCGTCTTCGTGACCCAGCGGATTACGTTGCGAAAGCGAAGCATCGATGGGCCGGTCACATCAAGAGAAGAACAGACGACAGATGGACACTAAGAACATCGGAGTGGATTCCTCGCGAAGCAAAACGTCCCCGAGGAAGACCACCAACGAGATGGGCAGACGTGTTCGTGGAACGGATGGACAGCTGAGAAATCAGCTGGATACGATTTTTGCACCTGGAACTCGTGGACGCAGCCACCGACGTCAGCCAAGAAGATCGTGGATGTCAGAAGCGAGGGACAGGGAGAAATGGAAACTTCTGAGCTGGGGCCCGCACGTCACGTGAAGCAGCCATCTAAGTATCTAAGTAAGTATTATCTCTTTTTAAAGACAACATTGGAAGATTGAATCAACGCAGATGCCCCTTTCTTGGGGTCTACATCCAGGATAGGTACTAGTTGGAGGGAGTTAGGGTTTACGTGGCTGCCTTTGATCGGTATAATATATGGATGATGTTCAATAGAGGCAGGGGCTTCAGATGCAAAAACTCTGTTAAGGGGACTTACCCGAAAACTGAGTATGCACTGCGTCTAGTGAGATCTGAGGAACGCTCTAGTGTTTTTTCTTGGGTCGCGGGTGTTGCGATGTAAGGAGGGTCCAAGTCCTTTATCTCGCGAGATGATGAATCACGTTAGCATTTCAAGAACTGTATATAATGCTGTATTGATTCAAATTCTCATGCGTTTGCAGCATTCCACGCAATGCGAGTAGAAGACTGCTGGGTTGGGACAAGAAAAAGTCCAGTCTATATAGTGAAGCACGATGGGTAAGTTACATAAGTAGTGAATGTAAATCGCTTAGTACTTGAGACAAAGGCTCCCTTACTTATTTTCCAGCTGCACCGCTGAATCTGCTCTTCTGCATTCACCTTCGTACACCTCCTTTCTCCGTGCAGCTTCGATCGGATGGCTGTCGATCCGGCAAGCAGGAGTAGACGAGCTGCTCGTCTCCTGCCGCATTACGCTTTGCCATGTTTGCGATGAGAACTGCCGCGAGTATACGGTAATATTTTTCTGCAGAGCCAGCAATCTTAATTACGAAATTCAGCCACCGCGTCAATGTCGAGATTCAGCTGATCGAGATTACCAACGGATGTGGAATGAGAGCGCAGCAGTTGAGCGGGCATGTAGTCCACCAGTAGAGACAACTACCGTGGAAATGATGATAATTCCGAAGAGTGCATATAGTCCACGCTTTTTAACATTTGCCTCAATAGTGCTGTGTTCATTCATCATTCTGAATATTAGTTGTTGACGGGTTTTGCTCCAGAGCATATAGAACATCTTCACTTAAACGGGATTCGCCATTCGATTACGCTAGTCTCGCTATACAATAAATGCTTTGCCGATAGAAAGGTTCAAATTTTGTGTTATGCATTCTTGTAGCAGAACCAGTTAAGATCCGGCTTTGCTTGTTTCTTATCGACTACCATAAAACTCATATTTCATGTCACTTAAAGGCAGTGTCTCACCAAAGTTGAAGTCGCGGGGATCTTTACATATTCTATTATAGGGACCTCTAGATAGGCCATTGCAACAAGTCCCACTCAATTTGACCCCCTCTACGCTGAGAAAAATTCGCTCAAAGTGGTACGCGGAGAGCCAGTTGGTACGCGCTGACGACTCCTTCGGTCTCCTCCCTTACGCGTTTGAACATGTCTCTCCACTTGGCATCCACCTCCCCTCTGTTGCTGCCACTGTGGCTGAGGCTGAAGTTGGAAGGTACAACTCGTCCACGTTGCTTCCGCGGGGCCTCCAGAAAACGGGGTTTTTGGGAACTTCGTGCGATTTTAAGCCCATACAGTGCTAGACAGGGTCCGACAGGCTTGCAAAATGCAAAAATTTCGGCAACTAAATTTTGGTGAGACACTGCCTTTAAACACCGAACTTCCTGTTCTGTCTCACGCCAGTTGCCGGTCCTCATGTGTCTGCGTAATCAGCATGGTCTACTCCGTGTACCTAATCTTGACTCTCCAGCTCAGACTTTGAGAGTCGATAATATCGACTAAGTCGTTTTTCAAATAACCTTACTTTCCTACTGGCTTTCTCCCCCTTGAGCAACTCACAGCCCTCCTTTTCAATTCTGAATACACCGTATTCGTGAACAGCATGCTCACACCTACCCCCGCTTCAGTTGAGATCTGTTGCCAAATGTTGGCTGTTAAATCAATGAGACAATATCGGATGACTGAAAAACTTATCTGCGATAACCATCCCAGCCGATATGTGCGCGAAGTTTGGTTCTTCAAAATTTTCTGTCGCTAAATTCAATAAATGAGCACGCTAAAAGTCGAGTTGGGCAGCGCGGCTGTTTAGCGCGCTCATTTAACCCATTGACGACGATGTGTACCACCGGTGGCCCACACCCATTGCAAAATCATATAATTTTTAGCCCTAGCATTTTTTCCACAGTTCAGTATTTTTTCTAGTTTTTTGCACTCCTGGATCCTGTAGACTTCGTCGTCTAAGAATATGACTGTAGTTGCTTACAAAACAATTTTACTTCCCGTAAATAATCACATTTCCCACGCCGAAAATGATGTGCAAAATCGCGTCGTCCCTCAGCGCCGCCACGCAAAATTAGGCGTCGTCGTCAATGGATTAAATCTGTATAGAATGGGTATTCAGCAGTGAATAGAGGGAAGGGAGGGAGCGGAGAGGGGAGGCGGAAGGCTCGCAAAATTTCCGAAATCTAGTAACATGTGTTTCAAAAATGCGCAAGTGACTTGTTCAGTCTTGTAAACAGTTGAAATAGTTCTTGAAAATTTTTCGAAAATTTAATTAACCTTGTAAAAAGATTTTGGAAGCGTGGCTGCAGCCAAGCCCCTTTTTCCAAGATTCTAGGGGTTATGGCGCGGAATTTCGAAAAGCATCCCATAATAATTTCCGGCGTGGCTAATTCTACGCACCTTCATCTTAAAAATTTTTTTGCCCCCCTGCCGGGAGGACGGAAATTCTGAGGCCATCGCTGGAATCCTGTATATAAAGAATCGTAAGGTGCTTTCAAAAATCATTAGATAGCGGAGAACCGAATGAGTCCTGAAGCACACGCGCCTGCAATTACCGCTTTCGAGATTACTGGTTCACTAACTTAGATATAATCCCGCAACTTCCTCCCCTAGATTTCCTAGATTTGATATTAGGTGATTCAGGTAGTTTAGATTGCTTTCAAAGAAATTTATTTTATGAACTGTAAGTGCTTAGGGTGAAGAAGGGTAAGCTTATAAGTTCATTGTTTGAATGTGATTTAATTTCTTACCATGTGTCATGTGATACAATTTGACCCAATCGGGATCAGGCCGAACCAGAATTGAGCAAAAGGTCAGGCACAAGTCGATCGGAAGCGACCCCCTCCCCTTTCAGGAACGCCTCCAAACGACCCCTCTTAGGGCCGCATGCATTAACATCCCCGCGGGCAGGGGATCGCAGCTTAAAAGAAAGCTTTATATTTCGAAACTCCTGATACTTGGATTTCACGTTTGTACCTATCCGTAAGTATTCCTACTACCCTTCACTATGAACATGTTGAACAGAGGCGAGAAGCTGTACGAACCGCACCAGCTTTAGTATGATCCCTGATGATCCCGGCGCTTTTTTAAAGTCATTTTTCTTTCTCCGAAGTTAACGAAAAACCTCCGAAGTTGTGCAGATTAACTAAACTGACAGTGTTAAGCATGTTGCTGATAAGAACAAATGATGTTTTGAAGTCATGAAATCTTATATATAAAGCTGAATGTCTGTTTGTATGTCTGTATGTCTGTCTGTATGTCTGTATGTACGTATGTTCCGAATAGAAAATTCCATTTCTGAACCGATCGGGACCAAACTTGGCACACATACACTTTGGGCCCCGGCGAGTGTCATAGGCTACTTTTCGTCATCGATCGATATCGATTTTATCGATTTTTATCGATTTTTTTGCTGAGTTCACCTACGGGGCTGGGAGTTGGCACAGGGGGGTAATCGAGCATGGGGATTCCGAATACAATATTGGTTTTCAGGATTATCGATTACTTTTATCGATTTTATCGATTTTTTTGCAAAGTTTGAGCTACGGGGGTGGGAGTTGGCACAGGGGGGTAATCGAGCATGGGGATTCCGAATACAATATTGGTTTTCAGGATTATCGATTACTTTTATCGATTTTATCGATTTTTTTGCAAAGTTTGAGCTACGGGGCTGAGAGTTCGCACAGGGGGGTAGTCGAGCATGGGGATTCCGAATACAATATTGGTTTTCGGGATTATCGGTTACTTTTATCGATTTTATCGATTTTTTTGCAAAGTTTGAGCTAGGGGGCTGGGAGTTGGCGCAGGGGGGTAATCGAGCATGCTGATCATCCCCAAGGGGGGTGATCAGCATGCTCGATTACACCCCTGTGCCAAATTCCAGCCCCCTAGCTCAAATTTTCAAAAAATCGATAAAATCGATAAAAGTAATGGACGATCTTGAAAACTAATATTGTATTCGTAATCTGCATGCTCGATTACTCCCCTGTGCAAACTCCCAGCCCCGCAGGTCAAACTTTACAAAAAAAATCGATAAAATCGATAAAAGTAATGGACGATCCTGAAAACTAATATTGTGTTCGTAATCAGCATGCTCGATTACCCCCCTGTGCAAACTCCCAGCCCCGCAGGTCAAAATTTACAAAAAAATCGATAAAATCAATAAAAGTAATCGATAATTCTGAAAACTAATATTGTGTTCGGAATCCCCATGCTCACTTCCCCCCTGTGCCAACTCCTAGCCCTGTAGGTGAACTCTGCAAAAAAGATCGATAAAAATCGGTATAATCGACATCGATCGATAACGAAAAGTGGACTGTGACACCCGCCGGGGCCCGAAGTGTATGTGTGCAAAGTTTGGTCCGGATCGGTTCAGAAATGGAATTTTCTATTTGGAACATACGTACACGGGTCTAGCTGGCAGGCCCGGCGGAGCCGGGCAAGCCAGCTAGTTTTCGATAATCCACAGGTCGAAATTTGAGGTTTACCGAAAAATTCGACTTTTCAACAACTCATTTGTTCTCATCAGCAATATGCTTAGCACTGTTGTGATAGATATTCAGTACAACTTTGGAAAGTTTTCGTTAACTTCCGAGAAAGAAAAATGACTTTAAAGAAAAGCGCCGGGGATCATCAGGGATCATACAAAAGCTGGAAAATGCGGTTCGTGCAGCTTCTCGCTCCTGTTCAACATATTCATAGTGAAGGGTAGTAGAAAACTTACGGATAGGTACACAACGTGAAGTCCAGGCATCTGGAGTTTCGAACTATAAAGTTTTTTTTTAAACTGCGATCCCCTCCCCAGCGGGGAGGTTAGTGCGTGCGGCTCTTAATCCTCTCCAACTCCGGAACCTCAGAGTGTGACAAACTGGGGAAGACAAGAAACTGTATGGTCGCTTTTCTGTGAATGCACATTACAAACACGCAATTTGACGGCGGATTTTGATGTGAATCGCCCTGTTGAACGGGGCAGAATTTCCCCAGGGGTGGAGTGTTTTTGCTCGAAATTTTCAATGGTGCAAGAAGAGGCTATCAATACTCATACCAAGACTGGACTGATTTCTGAATTTTGAAGACAATTTAAGTGGATCAGGCAGGCTACAAAAGCTCAGGCGGCCTGACCTTTTGAGGGGTTGCGCCCGACTCTATTAACTTTATCTCCGAAGACGCTTTTTCGTCCAAGTTTTATGTAATTCGCTAGCACAAACTTTGAACATTCCGCAGTAGGTGCTTAAGCTTAGCTCGACTTCCTTCGGCTTTGTAGTAATCCGCGGAGTTGACGCGCTCAAGGTGAAAACGCGATGTTTGCAATATTGGCAGTACTCCCTTCCACTATTTGAAAGCGGTATGAACTCTAATTTCTAGTATAGTCTGTTAGGGAAAATTACTTTGTTATGAGTATAGAAAAGCTGTCTTCTTTCACTTTTGAAACCAAATTAGTCATGTTTGAATTTCAGGCTTTTTAGACGATAGAAAACGCTAGAAAATGTAATAGGTAATGGTCTTTAGTGCTAGTAGAGGTGATTTGATATGCTAATTACGCAAGCTATACTCAGTTTACACAGCAAGCTTCTTTGGTGACATTAGTAGTGTCAGGCAAGGGATGGAGAATTGAAATTTGGCTGAAACTTCGAGGAGTCAATCAATGTGCTCGTCACGTCAGTCACTCCTTCAATTCTATTTGAGTTGTGATATGTATCAGTTCAAGTCTTTTCTTTTCACCTCACTCCATCGTAGTATTTCCTTAGCTTTGAGCGAATTCGATTCTTGATTACGACCCCCTCCCCCCAAGTCTTACCACCAATACGACCCCCCAGGTCGGGCCGCCTGACCTCACGCTCAACTCTGGGCCGAACCGCTGCAGTAACACCACTCGCAGTGGGATTTGCGCTGCATGTGCACGCTGTCAGGCACGACCCAAAATTCTAAAAGCGCGGAATTCCCCCATGCTGATTTCGGCATGTTTAGAATTGATACATCTCTTCCCTCGATGCTCCCCTCTTCTGTCTCCAAACCTCTCCCACCCTACCCCTCCTGAGGAGATGGGGCAGATGTACACACTCCTCAATTCTGCGTATAACAAAGCGTATAACGTATCAACTTGAATCTTGAAACGAATTCGTAAAAAGACAAGTGGTTAGTCGAAGTATCCTTTGAAATTACGATGCTGGAGGAGGAATTATGAATGAGCGTTTACTGAAGCAAAAATTGAGTGTGCAACATGACATAAATAGTTTTAGAGTTTTTCTAATTCAGGTGAGGCAACTGTGGATTGATCTTATTATCTATTTATTCATTCAATACACACATAGGTCTACCAAAACAAGAGGGGACATGAAATCTGCCAGAGATTGGTTTATCACATCATTCCTTGCTAAAATGTGCAGGCCTTTTTTTTTCTAGAGTGTGAGTGCTACTCTACGAGATCCCGTTTCCTTACCCGAAGGCAATTGTTCGAAGGGGTGAGTGACTTTTCATACGATGGGCAATTCCGAGGTGCGAGGTGTGAACACCTACGGCTAAGTGTGAAGTCTCGCACCTCCCTGTCTAGTACACTGTAGAAGGGGGGGGGGGGAGGGAGACTTTTCCTACGAATGCCCCCATATCATCTTTTGGCAAAGATCCAGTAAAAACTGGCACCATGCCAGGTTTGGGCCTGCGGGCTCCATTCCAAAAAACAAAATATCTAGATTAGCTTTTGCAGTACCGCAAATTCGGATAAAATGAAAACTTGAATGCTGTGTGATTTCAAAAAGTGTTTTGCTGTGAAAAATAACATCATGATCGTTCCACACGAATTTTTTTAGTATTTAAGTCGGCAAAATTCGGTTTTTCTTTTGCAAACGTTTTGAACTGATTTGAGTATTGTCACATGCCTCTCCGAGCCTTCAGCATGACCTGGAAGTGCTACTCTTTCCATAGGGGTTATTGGGGAGGGAGACGGTGAAGGGGCGCGATTTTCCTGGGTGTCATCAACTTAAAACTCCAGTTCCATGCTATGGGAGAATTCAAAAAGTGCCGGACAAAGTTTATTGGCTTACTAGATGTTTGAAGCAACGTTTGAAGTAAGCTTTATACAACAGATAAAATCAAGATATTCTTTACTTTACGCATTTTTGATAATAAACGTTTCATTCTAGTCCATTGTAATCGATAACTGGTCGTATTACCAGCACCCTAGCATACCGCTAGAAGGTCAAAGTGATCGGGGAGCGTTCGTATGAAAAGCCCCCCTCCCCCCCCCCCCCTCACCTAGGCGTAGTGGAGAATCTTACTCATTACGTGGATGGAGAGGTGCGATGTAGGTGTGAAGTAGGTGCGAAGGCTAGGTGCGAAGTCCCTGATCGTATGAAAAGTCCCCCCCCCCCCCTCCCCCCGCGTAAATTACTAGGCTTGACCCTCCAACTCAATCAGTGACGGAAGAATCGGTTAGGGAACCTGGGTGACCTGGGTGAGCGAGAAGGGTGGACCTCAAGGAAGAGTGCGCGCTGATCTTCAGCATCCTCAAACGGCGATTCCAAGAAAAACATCCAAAAGCCTTTAAGAAGGCTTCTAAAGTTAAAGTAACCATCGGGATGCAGAATACCACTCTTTCATACCAACACTTGCTGCAAACTTTCTCTTGAAGGAAATTTCATGTGCATGACTTGATTTCCAAAATGAGCATATAGCGATGACAAAATCAATAGGGTGTTCGCGTTTAAAGAGGCCATCGATAGCAGCACCTGGTGTAGATCATCAAATGTGCGTCACAAGGCGACCGTAGCGACTATAAGCAAGCCGTGCGATTTGGAGGACAAACCACTTTGTTTACATTTCTCTAGCAAAAGTTGTGGGAAAAATTTAATGACTGCAAAGTTATGTTAAAGTACTACATTATTTATCGCATAAAGGCTCTGAATTGCTCTATTTGAACTATAAGAAAGATGTCCGACTACTTCTATCCTGCCTACAATTTTCAATTTTGCTGCAACAAGAGCTCTAAATCCTGGCCTAGAAGAGCTCCCAGATAAGGTAAATAGGTTTGGAATCAGCGTTCTATGCCCTCCAAGATATATAAATGATGTCTTGAGAGGCCGCTTTTTTCTCTTTGTGAAATTACGTATATACGTTGTTGGAAAAGTAACTGCAGTAATACTTCGTTTTTCTATACAAACGTTGTACAAATGCAATGTGCCTGAACGTCACAGATTTCAAAAAAAAACACTCTCATGATAGCCGCTTGCTAATACCGTTGCTTCCTACATAAAAAAGATTTCTTCTCACGCATATGCTTCTTGTGTTGCGGCATAGATGTTTCAATGCTTGTGGGGCTAAAATGGAATCATGTATGCGTTTGAAAGAACTGGAAATGAGAAGCCGTATTTCCAGCCATCCACTGCTTTGAATAAGATCGTGTTCATGTGCATATCATTAGCGCCTGAAGCCGAAAGTTATTTGGTGCATCTTTCGAATAAAAGCCCTTGGCGGCCATTCCTAATTCAGTTTTCTCCTTGTTTTTATGGTTTGAAGGCAACTGCCAAACGAGCACTGATTCGTTTCAGAATGCAAGCGATTGCCGTTCTCGCTATCCTCGCGATCGTGAATATTGTGGCAGGCGAAGGAGTCGGCGTGTTTCCTAAGAATGCTGTTTGGGAATTCCTAGATCTTCGAAAGGTAATGGAGGGACTACCAAAGGAAGCCAAACAGGAATTCAGGCAGATCAACAATAATATGACCCTGACTTTAGCAGAGCGAAGACAGAAGAAAATGGAATGGGCAGAGAAGTTCGGTGTGAAAGTGAGTTGAGACTGTTTTCAAAGTCAATCGTTAGCAACTTGCTAATATAAAAATGTTTAGAAGCAATATACAGATTATGTTCAAAAGAGAGCATCTATGGTGGATAAAACCATGGCATTCTTGGCTAGTTTGCCAAAGTTGTACAAACAATATTGTGACACGTGGGATGGCGCTAAGCTCTTCAAAGATATAGAAGCGGAACAGAAGAAACTTGCTGCTATGTATGAGAAGGTCAGTTGGCTGGGTGCATTTGCATATGGCAAAAGTAGGATGAATTCGAACGATCTATTCCAATTCAAGGAATTCGCCGTCATGAATCTTGCGAAGGATCTTGTGGAACGGGAAGAGCATAAAATATGACGTCTAATGACAAAGAATAACGATGTACTGTCATTGCACCAATAAATCTCCAAGATTGCATTAAACCATTGCAATAAGTCTGTTGTAAAATAGGTTTTTGCTCTTGTATTGTGGAAACGCAACAGAGCTGTCAACATTTGCGCTTTGCTCTGCTAGGACGGAATCCACAGTGTCTCGGGTAGGTTAAGAGGATTGGCGATTCACCGACTCCAGAAACGACAACATTGCGAGATTGCCAGCGATGAAAGCAAAGTTGAAATTGGCTCGAGATGAGGAACGTGTTTCCAGAGGAGCTATCTTAAAGGAAAGGATACTGGTCGAAGCGCAGTTTCTATATTTCTCCACAATTACTGTAACGGTAGCGGTAAAGCTAACAGCCAAAACATTTTGTCAACGTGTTTAAGCATGTTGCAAACATATTGTTGCATGTTGCCAACATGTCATCCATGCGTGCAGCAGGTCAGAGACTAGCAGGCTAGCAAAATTGTGGAGGAGACGTATCATCGCGAAGCACAAGTGCTTGGAAAATTCCTTAGAGTACTTTTAATTCTGGATTTGACGAGGTATTGTATTGCGCTCGCCAATCTAAAGACCATTGAAACAGAGAGCAGGTTTCTCTGCGGTCTCTTCAGTTTTTTATTTTCTTCAGTTTTTTATAAGCTAAGACACACTCCATCACCTTACAATTTTTTTGAAAAGATTACATGTATGAGGAATACAATTTTTCATAGAAAACTTGTATGTCCTAGAAACAAGCTTTATTGCTGCTTTCTACCATAATTTGCGCTTTCGTTTTTGTAGATATGATTTCAAAAACAATAGTGTTCGTCTTTTCGCGAAATGCACATTGAAACAAGACTTCCAAAGATATTCAGAATGAAGTATTTTAACTCAAACGTGCACAGTAGCTGCTGCCCTTCGCACAGAAAAAAATCTTGATTGGAATATGCAAAACTTCCACCGCTGCAAAAAGAGTAGACTTGCAATCTTAATAGTAAGAAAAGGAAGCTATCAATTAGACGGTTTAAAAAAGCAATGCTCCGCCCTCAAAATCTAGTAAGTAGATAGAACATAAAGTTTTTTATCGCACGAAGGCGCTATAGCAACAAGCGGTCGCAGAGCGGCCAGCTGGTATACAGTCTGCCCCGCTCCTAACCAGGCCTAAATCGGCATGGCGGGAGTCCGCGCCGCGAGGGTTTCGCGCCACATCTGCGGCTAGCTAATCTGCTCTCTCCTCGATCTCTTCACTCTGCGACAACGCGCGTATGCAGCGCAAATTCCCTAGCGCTTCGAGCGCGCAAATTCAGCCGACGGTTCGGCCTGATCCCGATTGGGGCAGACTGTGCAACACCGCTCATAATCCGTCAAAAAAGTCGCCGCACTCTAGCGGAGTGCGCCGCAATGCGCTGCAGTGCACCGGAGTGCGGCAGAGTGCGCCGGAGTGCGGCAGAATGCGCCGAAGTGCGGCAGAGTGCGCCGGAGAGCAGCGGAGTGCGCTGCACTCTACTGGAGTGCACCGGAATACGCGTCATATTGCCATATCTCGCTTGAGAACAGACGTATTCTGATTTCAAAACCTTTCGATTTGGCTGGTCAAAATCTATAGAATGTGAAAAGATTTGATCAGCGTGTTGTACAAGCACTCAAGGTGGGATTTCGAGGAAATATGCAATCTTTACATTTTGGGCAAAATTCATGAAGACGTGTTTTCGTAGACTCGTAACCGGTGATATTTATAGACTGGAGCCTGAGACATGCATCATTCGATAATACGTTCACACTAACTCTAAGCTATAAAAGCGAGCACGCAAGTTTTCTGACAGGAACGCGATAGGTGCAGGCAAAATCACGAGCTTTCGTGACTTCGTTAGTTACCTCCTCATATCTCTGCAAAAAGACCCTGTATCAGACACCACGATTTTCGTAAAAAGCTGTTCGAAAAGCTCTATAAGCGAAGTTTCCTTACAGTCCAAGAGCATCAACATTTTGACCAAAATCTATCGGCGAGCTTCAGAGCGTGTGACACGAGAAAAAATCAACATCCCAGAGCTGTCTGGAAACCTGCTCGTAGGGGTTATCTGACCTGCTGATTTCGAAAATCACATCTGCTTAGCAAGATAACTACGTATCCTAGAGTTATGACGAGTAGGATTTGGGACGACAAGATTTTTCCACAATTTCCCAGCCCTTCTATCTCCATTGGTAAGGGGCCTACGGCTAATTTTTGGCGATCCTAAATTACGGGAAAAGTACTATCGAATGGTTTTTGCTGTAGTCTACTAGGGGTAATGCGCGCTGCTTTACATCTTTGCAAAGAGAGGTCCGCAGAAAAATCCAGGAATACTGAAATTGGAATATCAAGGACGTGCTGTACATCGAAAGACTCGCCTTGATGAGCTGAGCACAACGTTTTTTTCTGGTTTGGAATATATTCATCCCGAAGGAAACTGTGGCGCCACAACTTCCTATGAAATGAATATATTCCAATTTTGAATTTATTCCAATTTTTTAGAATTTGGAAACGCTGATTCTTCCAGAATTCACCAGCGCTTCCATCTTTTTTGGAAAGAAGCCTGCGCCTACTACTTAGGGCACGATAACCTACAAGGGCAGTGCTGTCGAATGTTGCTTACTGAAAGCTTTCATGTTGGACAAGCGCTATGTTACATCAATGCGAAAAGACCTCCGCAGAAGAATTTGAGAAAACTGGAAAGGGATTAACGAGGGCATGCTATATATCAAAAGATTTCTTGACGAGCTGAACACAATGCTGTTTCCTGGTCCAGAATATATTCATTCCGAAGGAAGTTATGGTGCTGCGTAGTTTGCGTGATTTCCGTTATTTCGCGGGTTGGAGTGTCGCGGAATTCCCAGAATATGGTGGAATTCCGGGAATTCCGCGACGTTCACGGAAATCGCACATCCTGTGAGCGGTATTGTACCTTGAGCTGATTTTTGGACAAGTTTGATCTGAGTGTCTCTCTACCATACTCCTGCAGTATCCCTACGGTGCTATCAGTAGACAACGCCAGTATTGTTATCAACACACTGAACAATCCAATCAAAGAAAAACCTGCAAAATTGAGAGAAAACCTACTGTCGACCGTATACCTACCGTGCCATAGGTTGTGGCACTTCCATATACTGGATGATACATCTAGCCAAGCTAAATCGAAAGGTGTCCTTGGACTCAGAATACGTCTGTTCTCAAGCGAAATATGGCAATAAGACGCGTATTTCGGTGCACTCTAGTGGAATGCGGCGGAATACTGCTCTCCGGCGTGCTGCAGCCACTGTATCGCAGTCTAGTGGAGTGCGACGCACTCCGCTGCTCTCCGGCACACTCTGCCCCACTCCGACGCACTCTGCCGCACTCCGGCGCACTGCAGCGCACTGTGGCGCACTCCGCTAGAGTGCGACGACTTTTTTGACGAATTATAAGCGGTATTATACATCACTATGAACCCTGCGCAGTATGCACCCTACGAGTAAAAACCATGTTCAACCCTTGGGTCCTGCGCCTTCGTTCAGCACTAGACCTTGCTTTTAAAACTTGCACTGTCTTCCAGCAAAAAGATTTTTCCCAGTGGATGTGATGATCAACGTGTCATGATTCTAGCCAGAAGTACTTGAGGCCAAAAGCTTTTCAAACACCCTGTAACGAGTTGTTACAACTAATAATCATGTAAACAGTGGTCGGCCAAAACTGAGCTTCCTTAGCGCTGTGACCTCGTATAAGCTAATCTACAAGACTGATCTCTGTACAAAAATGAATGGTGCAGACCATATTCCATCCTTTGGTCAGCTCATTTCTCCCATTCCAAGTGAGTTAAGAACTGAACTTTCCCCTCGCAAGACATGACCATTCTATAAATTTTGACCATGTCTCGGCTCGCGATGTAGGACACTCCTCGTGACAGAAGACCGAGAGCGCTAATTGTCGCTAGGGCGCCGTAATTCGCGAACCTCTCCTGTAAGATGCGCTGCCAAATCAAAGGACATATAAGGCCGCGAAGCGGTGTGTGCCTCTTCGAGTTTGGTTTGTTATCGATTTTTTGATATCGCTCAAGCTGTAGCGCCTCCAGTAGATCTCGCACATTGATCTCGGTTTCGAGCGGTTGAGCCTTTTTCAAGTCCTGTTTTTATGCGCTTTGTGGTTGTATAGATGGATAGTAGATATCAGTGGGGGCGGAGAGGGGTCGCACCGTTCCGCATGGACTTAAGACTTGCGGTCGACCCTGTGGACGAATCTGGAATAGCTCAGGTGGAGACCGAGTTCATGGGGCACCGGCTGCACGGGACGAGGCGGCTCGTCTCAAGCGTTTCCTTATTTTTCCAACTCCGACTGTTCTTTAATCTTGGCATAGATATGAACCGTAGCAGGGTGTTGAGCAACACGACCAAGATGGCAATTTCTCTTTACTAACTTCGGCCAACGTTTCGGCGCAATCGCCTTCGTCAGAGCCTAGAAATTCGAATACATAAGGATCTCTTCCCTCAGACGTCAATGAAGAAGCAAGACAATTCAGTTGAAAGCTAGTACGAAGGAAAAAACCAGAGCCACGGCAAAGCAATACTCACCTTAATCGTTGCATAGGGGGTACGAGGGACCACCAACTATGCAATAACTATACCTCTGCCCTATTTATAGTAATGAGGTGACCTGACCTAGCCTCAGAAACCGCAAAGGGCCTGATATGGCGCGAGTTCGTTAGTTATTGCATTACACTCCTCCTTTCGGTTCATTTTTGGATTTTTAGCGCTGATCCAAAACGCTTCCAAAGTCTTGCGCGATAGGACTTCGGTTTCGTAGGACAAAATCGAGGCTCCAATTTGTATTTCAGCATTTTCGTGTTGCAGTAAGCGATGACTACCGAGCGGTGTACTGGTCCTTGACTTGTTCAGTCCATCTAGATGTTCCTTTATGCTGCAGCAAAGCGGGCGCCCAGTTTCGCCTATGTACGTGTCGCCACATGATAAACATGTGATAATGTATGTCACGCCTGCCACCATACAATCCCCCTCTTTACTGAATGGACAAACTACACAGCCTGGAGTCAAGCAACTCCGATCATACGCTCTATTCCTGACCAATTGCCTCTTAAGGTTGGGCGGCGGAATATCGACCACCCTGAGCTCGTCTTGCAAACCCGCCTGATATACGCATCGCCGCACCGCGCTGCTTATATAGTCCGAGATGAAAGGCATGCAGAAAGGAATCTTATCCGTGGCTTCTTCCAAGCGATTTCTACTGCTTACAAAAGCGCGCGATCTAGGAGTACAGCTACTTGTTGTGTACCCGTTCGACCTGGCTATTTGTTTGGCTAACGCTAAGGAGTAGGAACGTTCCTGGATACCCGATGAAACTCCCGCAGTTGCTTGACTCCAGGCTGTGTAGTTTGTCCATTCAGTAGAGGGGGATTGTATGGTGGCAGGCATGATATACATTATCACATGTTTATCATGTGGCGACACGTACATAGGCGAAACTGGGCGCCCGCTTTGCTGCCGCATAAAGGAACATCTAGATGTACTGAACAAGTCAAGGACCAGTACACCGCTCGGTAGTCATCGCTTACTGCAACACGAAAATGCTGAAATACAAATTGGAGCCTCGATTTTGTCCTACGAACCCGAAGTCCTATCGCGCAAGACTTTGGAAGCGTTTTGGATCAGCGCTAAAAATCCAAAAATGAACCGAAAGGAGGAGTGTATTGCAATAACTAACGAACTCGCGCCATATCAGGCCCTTTGCGGTTTCTGAGGCTAGGTCAGGTCACCTCATTACTATAAATAGGGCAGAGGTATAGTTATTGCATAGTTGGTGGTCCCTCGTACCCCCTATGCAACGATTAAGGTGAGTATTGCTTTGCCATGGCTCTGGTTCTTTCCTTCGTACTAGCTTTCAACTGAATTGTCTTGCTTCTTCATTGACGTCTGAGGGAAGAGATCCTTATGTATTCGACTTTCTAGGCTCTGACGAAGGCGATTGCGCCGAAACGTTGGCCGAAGTTAATAAAGAGAAATTGCCATCTTGGTCGTGTTGCTCAACACCCTGCTACGTTTCCTTATTCCTTCTATCTAAAGGATACTAGTTTCTTTTAGTAACTGTGTATGTTAGTTACGTTTATATAATTGTGATTTAACTTAATCCTGATTGGCGATAGGCTTGTATTGTGCAGGTACCGGGATGAAGGCGTCGTTCAGACGCACCTGGAAGTGCACATGGGCGTAGACGCGCAGAATCTGAGCAGGGCGTGAGCAGGGCCCGGCACCCATTGGTTTGGAGCATTTTTGGAAACGAAGTCCCTGATGACTTCGAGAAAATTTACGAAGTCCCTCTTGACGTAAAAATCGATAGAAAAACTCTTACTCAATCAACATTATAATAAAAAAGCAAAAAAAGCGCATTTTGAGGTATCTGATATAACGAAAAAAATTCTGAGTCGATTAAAGGCCCTTGATTGAGTAACCATTTTGGCGCTCAGAATGTCGAAAACCCACCAACCCAGTTGGTTTGGTGTTGGTCTAAACAACACTTTCGGGAGCGGGTAGAACACATAAGTTTTTTAAAGTTTTTACATAGTATAGTTTAGAGTAATACTGTATACACATAGCCCAGATTCGGCGCCATGTGATTGTTTGTGCGCTGTAAACAAATCACTCGTTTGTTTGAGTCTTGCGTTTGAAATTCCCGCCCTTGCGAAAGAACACCTTCGACTCGTAAAACCTGACAGGTTTGTGATTTTTTCGGCAGTCGCCCAGAACCTTATAAAAACGATATCCTCTATGCTTCTGACCTCAAAAATGAAGTCCAGTTTGACCCCAGACCATCTATGCCGGGCCCTGTCCGTGAGTTAGGGATCGCTTGGGCGGACGAACACTAGAACGAGGGTGTGCTGAGCACACCGAACCGCAACAGATTATGAGTTGTCGTAGCCTAAGATGGAACTAGGCACATAAAGTACTACGCACTCAACAGCTACAGCTACCGCATCTCAAACTTAAACGTTTATAATAATTTACTGAAAATGGATTTCACACCATCCCCATCAGGCCCAGACGGCAACGTTATGAAAACTTGACGGCTCTGAACGCGCTTAACAGTAGGACTGGTGCACTACTTCCCATTTGAGATTTGGTTTCGATTAAGTCGCCACATGCATCTTGCTCAATTCACCTGCGATCGCTTCCGCGCTCCCTTCCGCGTTTATCCGGATCCAATCCGGATCAAGCAACTGCATTATCGATTCATATCACGCATATAAACCTGACGTAAATACTATTTCCAGTCCACGCTTCATTCGCTTGCTTTTTTCAATTTTCTGACCAAATCAGACTGCATCGTTTGATTACGACTAATTTCATTCGTTTCCGTGTTCGTAAAGTTGGGATAACGTTTATTCTATAACCAGGGGCGTATACGTCAAGCTCCAGTTTTGAAAGTGGGCGATCATGTTCAGTGGAAATCATACATCACGGGTCGGGCACCAACCCGGCCGAGCGATCACTTTCTATTGAAAATGATCGCCCGCTTTCAAAACGGGAGTTTGATGCATACCGCCCCAGGAGACGCGAGATCACATTGCACAGTTGTCTAAACAAGCCTAATCGTTTACTCAGCTGGTTCATACATGTTATTTATCTCGTCCAGTTTATTCACTCTTTGGAAACGGAGAAGAACAAACTCAAACTTATTAGACAATGTCCGCAATTTGGTTTCGCGTGATAGACTCCGTGGATGATCTGCATCACCTTATATTTTTTGGGAATAGCGCAAGTGTGGGAAGAAGAGAAGTCTATCTCTGCTAATACAGCTCCTACTCGCTTTCGTAAAATGCGGTCTCATATTAGAACTTTGAAGAGCAGTACACATCAAACAATTTACCGGGTACAGCAAGTAACAATAAAACCATCACTCAATTACCAGTGATAACAAAAGATTGTCAGAGAGATCGCAACATGCAAAGAAGGATCACTTGGCTAAAATGATACATTGCAAATAGAGGGTAGGCAGCCGCGACAGTGTATACATATACAATTTCTCCAATATAGAAAAGTAGCGATGAAGTGCGCAGTTGAAAATGATATATTTTGACCCCCCCCCCCCCCCGCAAAACCGGTTCACAAATTGCCTGACAGCCCACCTGGTGATAACAGAATTCACTACTGCCACCAATATGATTTTGGCTGCACAGCCTCATCCTCCTATTCAGTATAGATATCGTTCAGCCTCAAGATGAAATAGGCGGAAAGAATGCAAGAACTGAAGCCATGTTTTATGGGTTATCATTAGACAGGAGAAAACGAGCAATTGTATGAGGGTGGTATATGTCACTTTTGAAAAAAAATTTTTGAATTTCAAAGATCAAGAAAAACCTGACATTCAATAAGTTATCAAGGGAAATCTATTTATGTTTGTGAATACGCTTATTAAGTGGGGCAACGTGGGACTGCTTAACTTGGTAACGCATTTTCACAATCTCTCTGTTGTAAAAATAACTACTTTCCAGTTAGTTTGGTAAGACTCAACCTGAAGAGTCAGTTCAGTTCTTAATTGTTTTGAGTGCAATTATTGGCGCTTTTGCAAGCTTACATTGGGACACTGGTTTGAGGAGCAGAAAAAATTGAATTATAGGTTTTAAAGGCACCACTTCTACAAAAAAGCTGCTTTTTCACAGCGTAATATCAGTAGTAATATCAGTACCAAAAACCTTTCCCGGCCCTAAAATCCTGTAAACGTCTCTAAGTTGTTGCATGTATGCCAAGATAAAGTATAATAGGAATGTAAGCTGAGAAAGGTCTATGCATCACGAGAAAGATTAATTCAGGGATATTTCTCATGCAATTGCTTTCAGCCACCAGGAGCGACTGATAGTGGATTTACAGATGGTAAAACAAAACCGATTTTAGCCGGATTCCATCATGCTAACAGCTGATACAAATGAGTTCGATCCGTTTGGTTCTGGAACAAATTGGAAATGTTCTCCTTCTTTCGTCAGTTTTTTGATTTCCGCGATCTAAACTTTATAACATGGAGAAAGGTCGTATTGAAGGAGCCTTCAGTACCTTGGCCGCTGTTTTATGTTGATACACTGTTACTGACTTCGTACTTCTATATATAGACCATTCCAGTGCTGTTCCTGCGTCAATAGTAGAGCAAGGTCGTTCAAAGAGGAGCCAGTTGGCTTCCAAAGCCAAGCCTATCAAGCGCACAACATCCTCGCGGCGCTGGAAAAGAAAATTCGCGATAACTTCCAGCGAACACAACTTTGAAAGGATATAATATCCAGCCAGTCCCAAAAGAACCGAAGTGAGCCCAAAGCGATCTTGTGAACTAACATGTTGGAAAGAAGTATAAAATTACCTGAGGTCGCAAATTAGGCACTAATTTGGCTTTCGGTTCCTTGATAGGATATTCTGTGCTCGGAACGTAATCGTCATTGACAGATTCTCGCGCTTCCAGCTGCATCAAATAAAGTATTATATTTGAAAGTACCAACCACCAATACCGGAATTCAGAGTAAAAATTCATAGTATGCTTGCCTTTCTTCGCTTAGCAAATTCGCTAGCCACAACTTCTCGCATTCTAGCAGCTTCTTCCTTTTCCAATCTCTCCATTGCATCCCCTCCACTACAGTACGAATCGTCGTCCTCTCGAAAACTGCTAAAACTCAAAAATTTAGGAGAAAAAGAGTGAAAAGAAAGAAGATTACCGTTTACCGCCTCCATACAATTCACCATCATCCGGCTTTGCTCGAGAGGCTTTTGCCATTTTAGTTGAAGTACAAGCGGTCTGGAGACGAGATCTTACCGAACCGAGGCGACAAAGGGACAAAAAGGATCACCTGAAACTGAGAAGCCCTTCTCATTGTCCCTTTCGGATCTTTGCAAAAGTCACAGTGTTGACGACATGGAGGAAGATCGTTTTCTCCGAAGTACTTCGCAAAACACACATGACGGCAACTATAGGTTCAGATGTCTTACTCAGAAAATGAAAGTGAAGAAAAAGGCCCACTGCGCCACTTCTGCATAGTCCACCATCTTTTCCAACCCAAGCTGCATGGCCGCCGCTTGTTGCTTTTTTGACTCCTCACTGATACCTTTACCCTAGATTTGTAAGTGCAGTACAAACTTTGACAAAGCCACTTCATTGTTACCTTCAGCAGAGCCAAGTCCCTTCTGACAAGAAAATGCAGAAAATCCTTATCCGATAGGCTGTAGTATATTCTACAATAGCTCCTCTGGCCATCACGGCCAGCTCTTCCACTCTCTTGATAATAAGCAGCTAGATTTTGTGGGCACGTCCAGTGGACAACAAAACTGAACGAAGCAAGTTTGGAACAGAAGCAATTCGGAAAACACTGACCGTACATCCGGTTTGTCGATACCCATACCAAAGGCTATCGTTGCAGCAATCACTGGTACCTCGTTTGTCATCCATTTGTTCTGGACTTCGTCACGCATCTCAATGGGCTCTATCAATTTCGACTGATGGTCCAAGTCAATGTGTACCTTATTTGAGAGCCCCGCATGATAGGAGAGGCATTGAATATGTGCAAAGCTTAGCATTTGTGCTACCTGGTCGCATTCATCGCGGGTGCGACAGTAGATTATACCGCTCCCTTGATACACCCGAAAATAAGAGAAAATAAAGGAAGACTTGGAAGCAGTATATCTTGACTGACTACTGGGCCGAATTAAAACATTTACTTTTTCGTGCTTTAAGGCAGCTTTTTTCACAAACTTCCCCAGCTCTTCTGTTTTTTCTTTGGGAACCTTTAGACACCGAAGAATAAACTCCGCAAGATGACGCTAAAAAGCGACATAGATCATTTTTCAAAGAGGTGAAGTGTTACTCAAGACTGACCTCTGGTGCAACGGTGAGGTGATCCTTCATATACACATCGTAGTACAAATTACCACGAAAAGTTGAGGCTTTGAAAGTTTGCACCTGAAAAATTCAATTGTGAAAGAATGTCTCTTCATGTCAGTTATGTATATAGGCGATTGGAAATTTATTTTCTCGTTCGTACATGTGGAGATGCAGTCGCAAAAGCAAACAAAGTCGTAAAAATCGGAGGGACTATGCATGGTGAAACATCCCATTTCCAGATTGAAATTCATTTCCAACAAAACCTCGAGAGGGTAACCAATTGCTGAGATAAAACTAACATGTTTTAGCTTCAACTGATCAATGATGTCATCCTGTGCCTTGACATTGGCAGTAGCAGTGAGTGCTATCCAGGGCACCTAGTAAAAAACATGAAATATGAGCGAAATGTAAGCTAAGACTGAAACACATACATTGGGACAAACATCTCTCAGAGCTTTCAGTTTGAGATAATCTGGACGAAAATCATGGCCCCAGTGTGTGACGCAGTGAGCTTCATCAACGACAAAGTAGCTCAATAAGTTCCGTTTGTGCAGAGAGGCCAATATTCTGAAGAAAAAAGGACGCTGGAGAAGAGTCAAAGTGTCATTTCAACTACAATTCTAATATTATTTCAAATTAGCTGCTACATGAGCGAGTGGAAGAAAAATCAACATACGCAATAGGACACCCTATTGCTATGTTCCAACGTCAGGATTCCAAATATGTGGGTCTATCAACTACTGCTTGGTGAAAGTGGTGAATGAAGACTCTACTATTCGGATTCTAAGCTAAGCTTATTTGACAACCAGAGCGTATAAGAGTGAGGAACCACCGTGATCATAATGAATAGACGGCAACGCATATGCACAACATTGCAAAACGTTTGCCTAATAATAGGAAAGCTCGTCAATGTTTTCAAAACTCAAACATTCATATACTAGTCTTTCTCCTGAGAAATAGCTCGATTTTATTACAAAATAATATGAAAAAAGTAACTGATCTATTACAAAAAACACTTTGATGATTGAGGTAACGTAGCTTCCAAGCTAAGACGACAACGAACGATTACCTTCGCATGTTATCAGTAGCCGCAGCCTCTGGTGTTATGTAGAGCAATTTTAGAGTAGGCTTGCTATTGCGTAGATCCTAAAGAGCAGGATCTACATAAACACAGCAAAGGAACTGGATTAGAGTACCTCTATTATGCGAGTTCTCTCCGAAGCACTCAGTTTGGAGTTAAGCGACTCGCTAGGGATACCTTTCTCCTGAAAATGACTAAATTGTACTTTACTTGAGCATTAAAAACACCTCTAACTTACTTTCAAAGCCACAATTTGATCCGTTATCAAGGCTATAAGAGGAGATACAACGACCGTGACACCCGCATGAACAACAGCAGGGAGCTGCAGAAATCAGAATTTTGTATAGAATATAACATGATAAACGTTTCTTTTACCTGGTAACAGAGAGATTTTCCTGCTCCGGTAGGCAATGAGACATACACGTCAGCTTTCCCTGAATTTTATAGTCATAGATAAGCGAAGAATATTATGTACAAACTCACTCAAAAGTATACAATTTGTAGCCTTTTTCTGAAGCGAGCTTTTGAATTTCTTATGACCAAAAACTTCTTTCAACACTCGGTCACGTTCAACTTCCAATTCCGCTATTTTCATTATTTTCACACCATCATTTGCTGCAACTAAAGAAAAACGATTTGAAGGAGGAAGAGTGAAAGTACAGTATGTGATTACTCACTCTTCTGAGCTTTCTTGTCCTCGGTTTTGTTAGCGGAATTCGCAGTAGATGTTGAAGCATCAGTTTCTACAATGCTTACCACTTCACCCTTGGCCTTGCCTGTCGTTCTGATAACTTCACTCTTAACCTTGCTTGTCGATGGTTTCTACAAACACTGACATGTTTTGGTTATATATACAGAACGTTTACCAAAATAATCATACCATAAAAACTTACCATGAGAAAGTCCCATTTATTCTTTGTAGTTGACTTTGAACCATTCTGTTCTTTGGATGAAGACTTGTTTTCACCATTTGTCTTTGCTTTGATTTTGTCCTCAGAAGCCTCTTTTTCAGGCAATTCCTCGTCAGACTCTATCACAATTTCTTCGATATCTTCACCTCCCATCTGAAAAATAGAACTTCCTTCGAATAAAAAGGATGTTGATAGCAATCTCGCTTGAAGCGTTGGAAAAACATGAATTTCGTCACCAAACACAATGAACCAAAAACACATGCAATAAAACCCCCACTAACAATTTCAAAATTAGCAGTAACTCCCAACCACACTGTGATTTCGATGCTCCGATCACGTTTCATGCCTTGCGGTGAATGTTGTTTTGGCGCGAGTTTCTCGCTGAATCTGTTTTGTTCAGAATTCTAGCATTAATCCTTCTTCTTTTTTGCATCGCTAAAGATGATTTGGTTCAAAACGAAAAAAAGAACCTTCGCAAAAAAAAAAGAATCAAAGAACTTGTGTGAATTCTCAGTGTATGCCTGTTGCTAGAAATTGATGCTTTGTCTTCTTTAGTTTCGTTCTCCTCCTCGATGCTCACAAAATGTTTGGTTATATCAATAGCTAACACTCATGGATGATATATTTTAGTGCTGATTTTGCTATTGTCTCTCTCCTTCTATTGGACAGTGTTTTTAAATACGATCTTTTTTTGTTTCAGCGATAATGTGTGCTTCTTTTTCTCATTGCAACACATTCGACTACTTGAATCTTAATACGTATCCTTCCGGCTACAGCGAAACTTCCGCTTTTTCTTACCCGCTTCACATGTAGCTATTTCATCGAACTCTTCTGACCAGAAATTCAGCCTTTCTTGAAAGTGCTCATATCCTATTTTGAAATATGGTTGCTAATTCGCTGCCTCAAAATTGCAAAAAACTGATTTTGAACAAAGCGGTAGGCGTTGCAATCGTGTACAGGACTTTGCCAAGTCGCGACCATATCGGGCTGCGGTCAACGGGCAGGCTCACACGGCATGAAGTCATACATCGCTTACAGAAACGCATTTACAACGGAGACCAACTGTATCCGAAATTTTAGCAAGAGAATTATTCTACATTATTCTACACCAGTGCGTCACCTCTGCTTCGCAGAGGTTCGCACTGGCTCTAAATCTATGTGCCTTACTCATTCTCGTAAAATCGTAGCACTGGAACTCACCGCGCTATGCCGACTACCACGAATAAAATGTAAACAACCACTCATTTAGAAAGTCTTTTCACGTGAGATCGGTAATTTCGAGTGGATGAAACTTTTCGCAGGAAGACAAACGCAAATTTGAATAGGTTTTTGGATTTGTCATGGCTTGGTAGTCGCCATAAAGGTAATGATAACCGTGAGATACATCTCTGTGCGAAAATCTTCTCAAACGCTTGGCTAGAACCTTGGCAAGTTGACCATTTACACAACCAATTCATTTTGGCGCCGTTTTCGTTATGTAGTAAACTTTCGACCACTTTTCTGGCTAAACTCCATCGCTTGCACATTTGCTTACCAAACTCATCCACGACTCTGCAAAAAATGGTGATACGGACCGAATTTTGCGGTACAGAAGCCAGGTGGACCCGTTTGGCGCGCAATTTTTGACGGATCCACTCGACGGATTTGCTCGCGCTTTTGTATATTGGACTTTCATGCTGCTAGCATGCGCCGTGCAAAATTTGGGCTCAGGAGGTTGGCTGGAACATGTTCTACGAATTTCGTAACGGACAGACACACACACAAAAAGACTTAGCCCGTTATTATAAGTCATGATGCTGATTACGGGTACCACTTCGCGGTGGTGCCAGTTTGGAGACAGAAAGCCGATTTGCTTCAGCTCGCCTGCTAAACCGATGCTCTGTTCCAAGAGTCTTTCTCGGGTTGGAACCATTGGAAAATTAGTTACTCAGACAGTCGGTGCCGTAGCTCCGGAGGACAGTCGAAATCTGGCAGAGCCGCGGAGGACCCAATTCACCATTAAGAGCGGGGCGAGGGGGCGCTCCCTTCTTGTAGGTCACGTGACGTCACATGCAGGCGAGGGACCCCTCTCCGGGACGCGCAAATCTCTGCTCCGGAGATACGGCAGATTTGGGAGAGCCCCGGAGCAGAGATTTGCGCTCCGGAGGTACGCCAGATTTGGGACACCTCCGGAGCACAAAATGGGAGGTCTCCGGAGCACAAAATGGGAGGACTCCGGAGCATAAATGGAGGTCTCCGGAGCACAAAATGGGAGGGCTCCGGAGCACGAGTGGCAATCCCCGCTGGGGAAACCCCGCAGCTCGGCCATTTCTGCTCCGGAGGTATGCCGTCGACTGTCTGAGTAAGAGCGAGCCAAAATTAAGGGTCGGGTCTTCAAGATTGTTATTTGTTTCTCGAACAGCATGTAAACAAATTTGGCGCTATTCGGCTATCCGGGCCCCAAAATTTTTTGGTCATGGATTTCGCTCAAACTTGGTCCAGGGGGGTTATCTGACATGCTGATCACGAATATCACATTTTCTCCACAGGAAACCGCCTTCCTGTGAAGTTACGGTAGGTAAACGGTGGGTCAAAACCGTAGATTCAGCTGAAACTTGGCCCAGGGAGTTATTCGGCCCGCTGACGCCAATATCACATTGGTTTTGTACCGTAGCGTCATTTTCTCGGGTTACGGTGGGTATACGGTAAGGGGTCAAAATCTCAAAATCCGCTATAACTTCGCACAGAGGGGTTATCTGACATGCTGATAACGAATGTCACACTTTCCCCGCACGAAAACGCCTCCCTGCATGGGTTACGGTAGGTTTACGGTAGGGGTCAAAATCACAAATCGGCAAATGTATCTCCCCCTGTGCTTTGCTTAGGCAAAAGCCGCAGCAGGGTGTGTAGCGCGCGGCGGTGGTCGTGTGTGCAAAGCTTCACAATCGTCCGCATCGTCGTACACCCGTTACAAAACTATGCTTTACACCCGTTACCGTGTAGCTATCGTAACCCGAGAAAATGACGCTATGGTTCAAAACCAATGTGATATTTGGCATCAGCGGGCCGAATAGCCCCTCCAGGCCAAGTTTCGTGCAGGACCGTGATTTTGACCCTCTACCGTAGTCTTACCGTAACTCCACCGGATGGCGCTGCCGCACGAGATAAACATCATATTCGTATTCAGCATGCTAAATAACCCCTCTAGACGAAGTTTCGGGCAAATCTGTGATTTTGACCCCCTACCGTATACCTACCGTAACCCTGCAGGGAGGCATTTTCCTGCGGAGAAAAGGTGATATTCGTGATCAGCATGTCAGATAACCCCTCTGGGCCAAGTTTGAGCGAAATACATGCCAAAAAATTTTTGGGGCCCGGATAGCCGAATAGCGCTACAAGTTTTCGCCTTCTTTCTAGATGTTCGAGTCCATTGCATCGTACGGCAATCCTTCATGTGCCTCAAAGCACTTCAGCGCATCGTCATTTCGATTTTTTGCCTCTCCTTGATCTCACCCATACCTTCGATTTCAGAGATAGGGCGTCAAAAGTGAAGCTGATTGAATATCTGCCCGCTTGGAAAGTGAAGGTTGTTTATATAAAATCAGAGAAGAAAAAGATGCACAACAATCAGTAAACGCAAAAAAAGAACTAGAAACCAGATAGAAATGCTGCAATGAGTTTGAAATCTTTCATTTGGCGGCATTTCGGAATGCAGGTTTTTGCTTCAGGACCAGACAATCACATGGGGAAAACGGAGAAAAGCTAATTTTTTCTGATTGTTAAAAACATGTTTTGGAAGTGGTCATTATCGAGAAGCAAATAAACGAGAACAGAATTAGTTATGGCGTAAAGTTATTTTCTTCCCGATTCGAAATGCACGTCAAAGACAGTCTAGTTTTGATCTTCCTTTGAATTTTTGCCTTTCTCGTTCTTTCTGTTTCTACCGACGTTGTCATCTTTGTTATACTCATAATTCTGAGCAAAATGCCCCCAAGCGTGTAAGGGATCGGGCATACTTCACGCGATTTCAGTCGCGACGCGATGGCAATATTCCAACTGTCCATAAGTCACTGTAAGCCAGTGGCGTACCCAGGATTTCGGCTCGGGGGGTGCGCGACAAAAATTTTTTTCTAATGAAGGTGCGTGGCGTTAGCCACGCACTCCGAAAAAATTTTTGGGGCGCTTCTCAAAATTTTTGCGGGTCCCTAACCCCTAAAATATGGAAAAAGGGGGCGTGGCGTCAGCCACGCCCCCGAAAAAAAATTTTTTATAAGGCTAAAATGAATTAAAAATTTAAAAAATTATTTTAATTATTTACAAGTGCAGACAAGTCATTTGCACAATTTTATAACCCATATAAGTAACTTTCAACAATTTCGGGACCCGTTCTCGGGGGGGGGGGGCGCGCGCCCCCCCCCCCCCCCTCGGTACGCCACTGCTGTAAGCATATTTTGAATGCACAGAAGATAGGGCATTTTATCAATCCACGTAAGTTATTACATACTATGCATGTGCAGTTTGCTAGTGTAAGATCTGAAGACTTCTCGCGAATTGCCTAATCGCGTCGCGACTGAAATCGCGTGGAGTATGCCCGACCCGACCTTTAAGAAACGGTTGCTTACTAACTCCAAGAAAGGCTTATGACAAAAACGCACTTTTTGCAGCTTTTTGCGAGAGAACGGTCGAAGAAGATACCCTCTCGACGTTGTCTACCTTATGAAACATTACCAAGATATATCGAATGCACGAAAAATCGCCTGAAAAGAAAAAAACTGAAGAAAAGACAAGAGATTTTTCGAAAACAAGGTTTTTGCCACATTTCTCGCTCAAATAAAAAAAAAACAAGGTATGGCAACGTTGTCAGCTGAAAGTAGAGGTTAAGAGCTTCAGTATGGTACATAGTTTGCTGAAATTAAGTCCAGAACTAAGAAGAAAAGGGCACCAGAGTCAAATGCCTCGTGCCCGCGTTTGGGATAGCGAGGTAGCACGCAACCCGGGGGACGCAGACGAGCAGAGGAGAGGGTTGTTTCAGACTGCCGCACTGACTGCAGCAGACTGCAGCAGACTGCAGCTGACTGCACTGACTGCAGCCGATAGTTTTCTTTGGTATGTTCGTATTTGTTCTAATTCTTCCTATCATTGCATATACCCGTTTTGTAACATTCTAAACCCTGTGGTCTTTTGCTTTTACGTATATACTAGTTGGCATACCCGGCTCCGCCCGGGCCTGTCATTATTATATTCGTAATCAGCATGCTCGATTACCCCCCTATGCCTACTCCCAGCCCTGTAGCTCAAATTTTGCAAAAAATCGATAAAATCGATATCGATCGATAACGAAAAGTAGCCCTATGACACGCTCCCT